CTGAAACAAAGCTGTAAATGTTATAATACTTAGTGAGCGAATAACAAAAATAAATGTAATTCTCATAGTTTTAAACTAGTTCAAATTAGAGATAAGTAATCAGCTATCTAATTATAATTTTTTCTAATGAATATTTATATATTCACAAATTCTAAAGGTCTACAGCTAAGAGGAGGGCTCGAGCCCCTCAAGCCTCCTTTTTTGTTGCCTACTTATTACTTTGGACTGTGTATTCTTAAGTAAGGTCTTAGATAAAGAAAAAGGTCAATTATTAATAAAAGAAGGAAATACACTGTCAAGAAATTTTGTCTCAATTCAATATGCTTAATTTTTCTGTTCTCTGTTATTAGCATTTTTCTCAATTTTGAGCCTATCTATAAAGTCCCCTACTTATAATATTGTTACGCTTCACTTTTTTATAAGAAAGTATAAATTTACAAAGTAAAAGAGCTTTATGTGCGTAATATAAAACTTTTCTGTGTGGTAATAATGGTTGGAGACGGCTTGAATGGGTAATGAAGAAAAACTTTAATATAAGTTTAACATAACAGCAAATGTACCCATTCAAGCCGTCTCCAACCATTATTAGTCTCAAAGTCATTCGTAATCGAATTTTCTGTGTGGTATTCTCAGGTGCACTGATCACTGATAAGTAAGAGTAGCGCCGTTAATAACTAGAGGTTCGAACAGGAAATGATGGGCCGAGTTTAAACCGAAAATTTCATTCAACTAAGTTGAAGAAAAAAAAAAGACAAAACACAATGTACGACAAAGTATAATTAATTTTGATTTTTAACAACAACTCAAAAATAATGAATGAATGCACTTAATAATGACTGACACTTCTAGGTAATCTGAAGAAATTGTGTTTATTCTGTTCTAGACTGAGAGGGCGCTACTTTATATATATATTATTATTATACAGAAGTCCCCCGGTGACACGGCGGTATGTCTGTGGACTTACAACGCTAGAATCCGGGTTTCGATACCCGTGGTGGGCAGAGCACAGATAGCCCATTGTGTAGCTTTGTGCTTAATTACAAACAAACAAACAAAAGTATACGGAGTCGTTCCTCTCAGAGAGCAGTCACTACACACGCCATTGATTGTCCCAAGAGAAAATAGGGAGAGCTTAACCCTGTGGTATTTCTAAAGTTAAAAACAAGAATGTTGTAAAAGAACTAAAAATATATCTCCACCATGAGGAACGTCCACAAATACCTAAATGGGACACAAGCCTCGATATTGTGTAAACTAGTGTACGAAATAAGGTAGGTACTGCTCAGACTGGATTTCCTATATACGAAGGTTTTTAAGTGCTCTAAAAGCACATATAGCTGAAGAAAAAGCTTGAAAATTTTGGTAAATCAAACTAAAATTTAGGAACCATGTCTCATCTTCCCTTGTTTCCAGGCCGTTCCCAACTATCCCTAGCCTAAAACTTTAAAGTCAAATAACAAAAGTACATCAGACATGTTCTGGTAATCACCCATTCCTTGCACCTGATAAAAAACTTAATCAACATAAAATGTAGAAGAAACAGGTAGGTACAAATCCTTTAACAAAGAAAACTCAAATATATATAATCATAGCTTATAAAAATATAAATAACATGTATGATTAATACAGCAATATCAAATATACATATGAAAGAACCCTTAAGAAAAGGAAATTAAAATGAAACCTTTACAATTATATAATCAAAAACCAACAAAATGAAGGGGGTGCATTTTCAAGATAAAATTTATAGATGAATAAATAACACCAAAAAGATCCTCTAATGTTGATAAAGTAGAATAAAACATTGCATTAATCACACAATTACTTTTTAAATGCCCCCCCCCTCAAGTGCTCAACGGTAAGACTGTTGGCTTATAACGCTAAAATCCGGGTTTCGATATTCGTGGTGGACACAACACAGATAACTCATTGTGTCCCTTTTTCATCATAGCGACTAATGGTCTTTCCAAGAAAATAATGTAACAGTATACTACACAAGTATTCCACGAAACTTGGATAGTTCAATTGAGTACATTGGGATTGGCTTAAACATCGCATCCACCACTGTGATGTATTGAGTCTATGTCATGTCAGGTTATTCTCTCATCGAAAAGTGGTGCAATCCGTGTTATAATAAGATGACCAGGCAGTGTAGGTTTCTAACTTATAGTGCTCACTATTTTGTTTATATTGCAAAGAAAGAACCCGCAGAAAAACATTTAGAAGCTTGTTTATGTATTTAAATAAATTAACCTTATTTCAAAATTTTATCTAATTCTGTTTATCATTTACTTTATTTTTAAGCTGATATAGACCTAGCCATTCCTCGATAAATTCTCCTCTGTAATTGTAGTTTAAATTTTAATATAACTTTTGTTATACAAGTTGTCAAACACTATATCAAAAAAGAACAATATTTCTTTCGGAAAGTGCCTCTCTCACTACCAAACAGACACTAAAATGATGTCACATAACGGACGCTTAACGTTGCAATTTGTACTGTAGTGACGTCAGTATAACGTGCGCACGCCATGAATCACGAAAATAATTACGAATTCCGTAAAAAACAAGAAATAAAAATATTAGTTTTCCTTAATTTTGATTTTATTTGCTCACGAAACAGAACACTTTTGGTGACCCTACAGGAGTACCTCTAGTCATATTGCTGTACTATAATTATTGATTATTTTATGTCCCACTCCCTTTTTCATTAACAGTTTTGCATTTTGCAATATAATTAGTCTTGTTTATTTGTTGTAAATCGCAAAGTTCAGCATCGTAGTAAACACACGATTGGTAAAAGTGGTCACGGAAACACTGGATATTATTATCCAGTCTTCTAAAACACATGAAAAAAGTGGACACCTGTCACGAGAATACCCCCCCTTCCCCCCAAATACACACAACATAGCACCATCCCCAGCAGTTTGCATTGTCAGAAGAAAACAACTAGGGTTAAGTGCCTCGTTTCACTTTCTCAAAATTCTCTTCTCGGTCAAGAAAATAAATAAATGTGACTCTGTAACTCATGCGATTATATCACACACTTATAGTCATTCACCATTCTTGCGCTATAGAACTAGTAAAACCGCGCTTTCCTGTTTGCATTGGGGGGGGGGGACTCTGTCTTGATTGTCGGCTACCATAGCGCAGTTTTGTTGTTTTTTTTAGTACAATTGGAAAAAGTCGAGTCTCAAACATTGTCGAAGGAATGAGTCAATTGGGACAGTCTTTCTTCTACTTTACAAGATTGTCCAATCTTTTATTTTTTAACTGTGACCAGCAAACTATGTCCACACTTTTCCTTGGTGACAAATATATTCCCTCTCCACTGCCGTTATCAGTAGATTCTGATCACAAATGCCTTTAAAAAGACTCAGTCCGGTAGTTGTGTACTCTAGCTGAATGGTGCATTATACGACACATGGACTTAACAACCCATGTCACAGTCCTCTAGGGTTTATAACTGCTGAAGTGCGGAGCTAACCACTAGATTACACCAAACCGTGAAGGGACAGTAAAAATAAAAGAAAGAGAGATACTTGATAACGACACATCTTAGTACTTCAAATTTAAAGGAATTAGTAATGGTGAAGCAGTAGCATAGAAATAAGCGAGACAATTGTTTTATGGCTTACACGTATACTCCCGAAAGGATAACTGAAAATCATATAATATGGCGAAAGGTTATATATATATACACACAGATAGATGGATAGATAGATAGAAAAATGGCGAACGCTTATATAGATAGATAGAAAGCAGCAAAATAAGACTGAAAATAATAATAAAATGATTATAGATCAGTCAGGGTTTTATTTTCACGTTCAATATTTAATAGTCAAGTTTCCAACTCCTCTCTCTTTAGGCTGAATGATAAGTAACAGAGATATGTTTTTAAAAATACTGTGGTAAAACATATTTTCCATGTAATATTATAACAACTTTTGTTGTTAATCGCAAAGCTACACCACGAGTATCGAACCCCGGTTTCTAGCGTTGTAAGTCCACAGACATACCGCTGCGCCACTGGGGGGTCATAACAACCGAGAAACATTTATAATAACCTTTTCTTTCCAAATAACGTTGAATACTGACATGTATTTGTTGAAAGACACTCAACGTTCACATTTTAAAGAAAACTGATTGAGTTATTAGTTTTTATCATTAATTTGTCTTCATTATGAACCTGAAACAAATATTTCGCAAAGTTGTATTAAGCTTTAAGAATAGCTCCAAT